GTATGCATGATCGACGATTAGCTCATCACCAAGTCCGAGCCTTATTCAGGAAACATTATTCATGCAGAATTCCCTGCCAAAAAGTACAGTATCGAGCCAGGAAGGTTTTAGCAGTCCTCCCCAGTCAGGATGATTAGTTAGAAGACAGTTATTCACGCCAACTCGTCAGCCACGACGCTTGACGGGTGTTGATGCGACGTGCTGCGGAGGCGAAAACATTTTTGTAATGCATCCCATGCTACGCCCGTTTGCGCGATAAGCTGGATATCGAAGAACGACGACGAAGTACTGCCATGATGATTTCGGACGCGCAACAAGAGAAGAGACTCAGCTTCTGCTACGAATGATCTGAGCAGTAACGGAAACTTTACGCAATGTATTTTCACAGATGAGTCAACAGTCCAAGTGGGTGTCTCCACCCGTGTTAAGCCGTGTTATTTGTTGCCTGCCTACCATCTGAAAGGAAACTTTTCCAGTTGACTGCTCTGTCAAGATGGCTATTGTGAAAGAAGGCGATTTACTTTTGCAAGGACTCCGTTCGAGGTAACAGCATCCTACGCGAAGCTTCACCTCTGGGGTGGTAATATCTACGCAGAGGTGCAAACGAACTTGCAATTTTCCCCGGTAGAAGTGAGGGATGCGACAGTGAGTAAGTATGTCAAATTTTTCTGGAGCGATGTTACCGTCCCGTTCAACAATAACATCTTAACATGGTTATGTTCTTTGTTGGATGTCACGTAGAGAGTAATCAGGAAGACTACATAACAGCAACTCATGTGTTGTTATTCCAAGGATATGGTGTTCTTGTGCAGAGAAACGCTCCTGCTCACAAGAAGGCCTATACAAGAGCAGCCTAGACATGTGGATATTAAGCGCTGCTTGGTGACTGGCTCACCGGAGTCACCCGATCTTGAACCCAATTTGACACCTGGTTTGGGGCAATATGAAGATTTTTCAATCAGCGTTACCAGCTGTTTGCATTCTATATGACGAAGATTGTTTTTTGTTAAAGAATGATATCTGAGAGCCCAACAGTTGTTTAAAGAAAGCGAAATGTTCGAAGTGTGGAAGAGTGTGAAAAACGCAGCCATGGAAATTCTGGAAAACTGTCACTCAACGCTGTGTTCGAGGTATATCGCAAGGAAGTCCGACCAAGAAAAGCCTCCATCGTGTTGCGAACAAAGAAGGAAGGAACATCTTACGCAAGGACGATAAATTCAACTACCCTGTTCGTTTCGGTAGAGGAGTCTGTCAGTGTATGGACTACATAAATTCATTTTTCATCCAGCTGCAACATTGAAAACTGGCCATCTCGAGTACGATTGGAATTCCAGTTGAACTGTGGTGAAACAATCCGCGATCGCGAGATTCGGTACTACAAGGGGATAGCGCAGAGCCGATAAGATACTCCGGTAATTACGAGCGGGAGCCGCTAGTTGGCGGTCCACATGTCTCTCGAGTTGTTAGACGCGCTTCGCCATAGGCCCCAGGCCTCTGTTGCGAATTGCACACAAGCATTTAGAATAGCACAATTGCCTTAACATGATTTTTACAGCCAAAGTTGATAGGGCTGCTACACCTTAAAATCTTGCCTCACAGGTCAATATGCGCATCAAGTCATTGCCGAAATCCCACCACAGAGGACGGCTTAGGGGCCGCAAAGCGATCGATAATAGCGGCTTCGGCTTGTCGATCGCTTACCGTGCATCAGCCAGCTGAGACGCAACCACAACCGTAACTAATTGGGCGAGCGAATGGATGGGCATGGGCTTGCAGAGCAATCAAATATTCACGATGTTGCAAAAACTGATTTTAAGTTTATTTAGGTAAGCATTCTTTGAAATCGAATTGAATCGTAACTAGAATACAGTTTTCTTTAACGTATCTCTTACAATCAACAGAGTTCTGAGCCGAACGTGCATGAGAGTTCACACTGTTTGAATGGGGTGTGTCCAATGAAAATGTTCAAAATCAACTCATCTAAAAAAATGGCTTATCTTTCTATCAGAGATTCAGAGTAACTCTTGGGATTCAAGGAAATCTTCTCTGCTCTTTTGTACCTTAATAGCGAACAGTTGCTGCTAGAGCAGTGGAAGCATGTAAAATCGCGCTATCCTTCTCCCCCTCTCATACCTACTAGCAAAGTTATCATAAAAACGAACCTCAACGATGGAGGGAGTTTGTGACCAAGAGCAAATTTTATGAAAGATTTTGAAGGAACAGTCTCAAGTTTTGAATAGAAAGCAATATTCTCCTTAGACACACTCTCACAACTTGTATGCGACAATAGATAACAGAGGAGGGGCGCGGGTGAACATTCTGTAAGATTGATTTAATACATGCCTGACACTTCGGTTGGGTAACTACTTAGGAGGGTCGATTGACCGCAGACAGCGGCAGGTAGCCGGTGGACAAAGGACGCGGCGAAGAGGAAGCTTTGATGAGGTGATTCCTCATATGAATAGAGAATCATTTTTCCATTAGGAGTAGTCAAATGGTTTCTACTTTGACACTGTTTTCTTCTTTGGACAAAGGCGCATTTTTGTTCTGAACGTGAAGACTTGAAGTTTGGGCAAACCCGGTTAGTAGGGGCCAACCAGCTTCAACTACTGTCAACTGTTTTTCCATCACGTATTTTTGGAAAACACAGCCCTTCCACTTCGTATCTCTTTTTTGAGGAATTTACGGTACATGCAGAGCGCCTGAAAATCCTGCTTGAAACGCATTCAATTCGAGTATTGGCCGTGAGTATCTGCGCGATGGCTGCTCACCTCAAGTAGCTAAAAAAACCTTCTTTTCACTTCGATTCTTCACACTTTTGCGTAATTACTGAAGGAGAACAGGCCAAAGGTCCCATGGTTAGGCTCATTGTGGTCCGCGTAGTTCTAAGGTGCAACATGAGCTCCAGATTGGTTCAGACATGAAAAGAGCTGTCTCGGTAGGAAAACGACATCTCGCAAAACCTGCCATTTTCAGAGAAAATTGACACCCGGTACGATCAGCACAATTTGAAAATTCAACTATCCGATTTCTAATGCAATTCTTAGGTCATACAGTACGCTATTTGAATTCTGCGATGCGATTTGATTTCCAACGATTACCCTCTGGTACAATTATAGCGTGAGATCGCCTCGCTAACGAGTGTCTCAGGTACTTCGACCAGGAGCCGAGTTCATTTTTCAACTTTTCCAGTTTTGTTTTTTGGACGCCACTCATAGAGAGACCTCAACGAAGCTAGCGTCTAACGGTATAGCATTCCATTATGAGAAGGGATACCAAATCGAGTCACAGTCGCGAAAAAAAACGAAAAAAAACCGACCAAATCCGCGTTTTTTTCGCGTTTTTGTTTCGAACAAAATTACGCGGGTTATGTGTACCTCCATCGTCCTGATGGCTACCACTCAGATACCTGTTTCGAGGCACCCACTATCTTTGTCCACAAAAGACATCAGAAGAGTAACCTCAAATTTCCCGCTTTCTACGGTACAGATCAATGCGCGATGAATCTACCACTCCCACAAGAATGACAATATGGCGCCCTATTCGATCAAGTGAGACACAAACTCGAGAAGACCATGAAAGAAGCTCCCTGTATGCTGCACAGGCACCAGGGGCAAGACTGAACTTTGCGCGTGCGAAGATGGCGACGTCGTGGGACAAGGTGCAGTTCCTTTGAGATATTGAAAATTCAAAAAGGCAACTCTTTGCGCATTTCTATTCTTAGGTTATCTTCACTGATAAGAAGAAATCAATCCCGACGGTCCAGATAGATATCAGCATCACTGGAAAGGCCTTTGTAGCGATCCGTTGGTGTTCTCGAGATGAAATTTCGGAGGCGGCTCTTTGATGATACGGGGTGGTTTTGGAAGCAGAGGAAATTTGGAGTTTGCCTTCCCATCGTGCTGTATGAACAGTGAGGAATACCAAGGAGCTGCTTGAGTCTAACCTCTTGCCTTTTCTGAGCGGGCCACGACGCAGGACACATGTGATGCAGCAGGACAACGCCGCCGTGTATGTTTCAAATTCTACTAGAAAGTGGCTCCAACGCAATGGTGTCAAAGTGGTTGATTGGCCGGCGTGTTCTCCTGACCGCAACCCAACCTAAACCCTGTGGGGAATCATGGTTCGACGAATCTACATGAACACTGGGCAGTACAACAGCGTGCGAGACGTGAAGGACAGGTGCGAATAGTTGCTGCATGGGAGGAAATCGACGAAGACACCATGACAAATCTTGTCCACAGCATGCCAGACAGAATGTTCGAAGTAATGGTGAACGCTGGAGGAAGAACCAACCTCTATTTTCCACGACATATTTGTTTTTTGTTAAGTGTCCACATACTTTTGTTATTAAGAAGCTTTTTCAAAACAATAAATAAGTGTACAGTAGTCCACAAAGTGCTCAGAAGTAGGTATTCCTATGTTTCCGCTTATGAGGAATTCAAAGGTCCCATATCGCAAAATTCAAAGGCAATTTTGCAGGACAAAAATTTGAGGTGTCCACATACTTTGATACGCGCTGTAGAATAGTCAGAAATTTCCTCTATTCACTTTCATGCTAAGCAAAACTTTACACAAAATGGAATATGGTTATTAGGGAGCGACATAGAGGAGGGAGCATATTTATCACAACCATTTATGAATTTTGAATTAGAGATACAGTACAACTTGAGAAAACTGACAAAAAAGCCCACTCCACCAATCTTCCCACCAACTTAGCGGTGGAAACTTCTGTTACATCTGGTATCCTGCTCCCTTTGAGATTCATTCGGTCATTCCGCAGGCAACCATTGTAGAGTACTATGCGACCTCATCGTTCTCTGCAGTGCTTGCAATGTTTGTAATGTGATGTACACTGTGCTTTGACTAAGTCCCCTCATCTTAGCATCCTTCCCTTGTGGAACCAAGCACTATGCTTGACTGATACTCCCATCAGCTTTTACTTGGAGGAGTCATATGCCATTCATTTATGAAGAGTAACGGCAATTTCCGTTCCAGGTATGTACGGGACCAAGCTTGACACCATACGGAATATTCATAAAAATGGTAAAGTAGCCATTCTGGATGTTGAGCCTCAAGCTCTCAAGGTGAGCATTCAAATTTGCCACACGTAGATCGCAAGAGCAGTTTTATTTTGTTAATTTCCCTGTGGGGATGAGGACGCATCTCATTCAGGTCTTGAGGACGGCTGAGTACTCACCCTTTGTCGTCTTTATAGCGGCGCCCAATCTTCAGGGTCTTCAAGATGTGAGTCGTTTTAGTCACAACATCAATGCTGCCGTGAACTACATTTTTTTAGCCCGATGGAAGTCTCGAAAGACTTTTGCGGGAGTCCGAAATATTACGACAAGCCTTCGGACACTTGTTTGATTACGTCCTCGTAAATAATGACATTGATGAAACTATTGCACAGCTGGAAAATATTGCTGAAAAACTACCACTTTGTCCTCAATGGTTGCCAGTATCATGGGTGTATTGATGCCATTCTTTCTTGTTAACAATGAAACCTTCGTTTTTTTTTACACCAGTCTGCTTTGGTAAAATCTCTGCCTATTTGACTTGTCAACCTTCTACAAAGGAGACAGCAGTCCAGAAGGCTCGCCGCTGCAGCGAAGACCGATGGCTCCAATACCATAATGGTGTAGATGTCAACGATCTAACATAAACGCTGTTTTCGGCTCTGTCGCCGTTTGGCGCCAAGTGGCGACAAATTATCATCTTCACTTTTTCCGCGGATTGGATGCAATTTGTGTTGGGTAGTCGAGTGTCCCTATTACAAATAGCTTGTTGGCTTTGGAGCAAGTGGACGCCAATAAGGGCCAATTCGAGGGCGCCATTGTCTCGCACAGCTAGACTTCGGCGATTTGCCAACACGCGCGCCGCCCCGCTGGCGCGTCCCACTGCCGTTCGCCCCGCCCCGTGCTGATTGATAGCTGCGAGGTTCTGTATGCCTGCTCACCATGTAAAAGCAATCTAAACTCTAGTCGTCAGATATTATTCTATATTATATTATTCTTATTTTCGTCATTCGGCATATTATACTTGCCCTGTCAATCCTTGCTCCTGAGGTGAGAAGGTTTGTTGCTTATTTTCTGTTACATTACTTGCCGGGAACACCACCCTCCAAATCCCTGCCAGGCCCTCAGTCTGAAATTGTTGTTTGCAGGTCTCTTTTACTGTTGTTCCCCTCTTTTGCCCTCTACTCAACTGTGCCAATTCTATTGGTTGGTTCTTTATCATCAGCTCTTATTGCCCCTTTTCCCTTAGCTATCTCCAGTTAAACAGCATGTTGGCGTGAAGTGAAATGTGGCCAAACTTTCTATGAATTGAGCCCATTTCAATTCGTACCGTCAAACTTATCCACTCGTAAACCACATAGTCTTGTGAAAATATACATGCCCTCGAAGAGTGTATTCGGAGGCTCTTTCTCTGACTATGCCAGTTTCTCGGATCAACTAACGATGGATACCCTCCGCTGCTTCTTCGGCAGTGTTTTACAAAGACTACACAGTCGGTATTCTTTAGTCTGTTGTCGAACACAGCGAGCGGAAAGCCATAAGGGTGAACTTCCTTGAGCCCCAATACACCACATGAGGGTTTCACACTGAGCCTCCTCATTCACGTGGTTTGATGGCCAGCTGGTAGGTCGGCCAGAGGTCATGATGATCTCGATCTAGTAGGAGTGCCTGATGTCATATGGCCCTGTAAACACGGTGTCACATTCGAATGCTTGTGGATTAGGAATCAGGAGGAACTGAGGTCAATCCAGTTCATCTCTCCTGTTTTGTCGCGGAACTGAATGGAGCGGTGCTTCTCGCGACTCTACGGTGCCCACGTGCTCAATAAGGGACTCAAAAAGTGATCTTTTGAGGGGAGGTGTCCACATCGATATTGCTTCCGATGTCACAGCAGAGGGTTCGCTCTTCAGGGCTGAGTGACTACTATCCAAGTGAGTTTGTGTGCGGGATAGAAAGTGTGAAAAGTGTTTTACATACGATACTAATATACGTGGAAACCAAATAAAACTAAATATGTAGTGTTTGTGTTTTCACAGTTAAAACGCTCGTTGAAGTATCAGCCAACCAATCACTCGTTTAGTAGCTTGCGTTCGAAAGTAATATCTCTAAGCTGTTTGAAAAAGAGGAGCTTTATGAGGGCTTATGCTGGAGATAGTTTAAACGAAGTTTTTGGCTTCTCCAGTGCTTTTTCTATGCTGTGATTTGTTAAGCAGAATAGTGGCAATTAGAATAGTAAGTAGTCAAGTAATAACGCCGTCTAATAACAGCACAGTATAGCAAAATCTCTAAAATAGTAAAGATAGTCGTTCAAGCCTTCAATTCTAGCGCGCAGAACCTATCGATCGAGATGGGGGCGGGGCGAATGGCTGTGGCCATGGTACAGCATCCTTGTGCCAAACCCATGGGGGGGGGGGGTCGTCCCTGGCCGATGGAGAGGGGGGGGTCGTAATCTCAAGGCGTCACTCAGAGCCGAGCAATGGTTCGACATTTCAGATCGATGTGGAGTGGAGCTATGAAAGTCAAGATGTTTGAAAAATGAAGTTTATTATGAGTGTATTCTTTACAGCTTTAAATGCTACGTTATAACAGCCTCTTTTCCATGGTTCGTACTTGGCTGCGGGGGACGTGGGGAGTATCGCAAAAGTAGAGCTCGCTAGGCATCAAACAGTACAAAGGCGTTCATTGCTAAGGGTAATGGAACGGACTTAAAGTTCAGAAGACCCGGCTGTAAATAGGATACAAAATAATAAAAAGATTTATTGCAATATAGCAGAATAAATAAATAAAATAAGTATTCAGTTTATAGCATGAACTCGTGAGTCGTAGATGACTAAATAATACGTCTCAAACAGATTCGTGCGTGTTGTCCTTTACAAACCCTAAACAAACATCTGCTTGCATGGATAAAAGCACCTGAAATCAGAATTACACCTTTCCACCACCTTTGCGTAGGAGCCAATGCACGGCGCACGGACCAAATCGATCAGAGATTAGCCGAGCTTCTCTTTCACCTCATTTGAAGGGGAATATTGTTTTTGGAGGTAACACTGAGTTTTCGAAGGTGTATCTTCACATGGACATAAGGAGTCAGTTTTTCGGGTTGGTCCAGGGGTAGCGCAAGGCTAACCCATCTAAAATATCTCCTGAACTAGTGGGTCTTCAGAAAACTTTAAAGCTTATTGGAAAGAGAAAAGATGGAGGGGTTTCAAGACGACGTCAGTCCTGATGAAATTGCGACTTGAACGAAGCAGTCCTTGTGTGAATCATGGAAACCAGTTTCACGATTTACCCCTGGCTGAACCGTGGCCCATCCGGAATATTTTCATCAACGGGGGATTGTTCAGTTTGCAGCTAGGTAGAATACACAATAGTAGAAAACTTTGCCGTTGCATGCTGCTCACCATTCCTCAAAAGCTCCGCACCTAAAAAAGATATAACGCCCGAACAGACCAGGACGTTGGCAAGGTCCAACAACCGCGCTCAATGACGTTTTTCCAAAGAAGCGGTCGGCAGCCTTGCGCCCTGCAGCGCCTGATCGATAATAGCCAAGTATGGAACGATTTACTGCCGGCCTGGTTATCTTTTTTTTCATTTAGCTCTGATTTTTTTGTATTTTTCATGTTTCGCTTTGTTGTGTCGTGCATGTTTTCATTATTTCCCGTCACCATTCATTGAATGCACATCTGGCCCTGACACGCTCACCTTGGGGCTATTTTTTTCACCAATTCAGCCTATCATATGATCACCATTAACCGCTATTTCAATTGTGTTTCTTGTTACAAGTTGCATGTCATACATAGTTATCGAACGAGGAGTTTTATTTTGAATCCTAAGACAAAATTGTAGGTAATGCGAGCTGTTGTTCAGCCTCATATTGCATGAGGCTGAAACAGCCTTTTATTTCCTGTATTTAGAGCAGAGTGCGCCTTTCGAGAATCCGATTTCCATTTCAGGAAGCCATTTGTGGTGAACATGCATCTGGTTGTCAGTTAGAGCAGGAGGGGGGGCGGTCGTATCTGGACCTTTCGAGGGGGGGGTCTTACCCACACCGCCATTTGACACATCCCCGTGCTGTACCCTGGCTGGAGTTAGCGATAGCTGATTTGGACCCCCCTCCACAAACAAAGTCGCAACGTACCGCATGGTCTGAGTACAGAGCTAACAATAGCCAAACACGGTACTTCCTTGCGCCCTCTCACATTTGCTTGTTCGCTTAGGATAGACAGCACTGTGTGCCTAGGTGCCGACAGCACGTGTTGTGAATAGCAAGTAGGGACAGATAGATACCAACGCCATCAACAACGCTCCATCTTAGTTTCCGCGCAATTTCGAGTGATAGCATGGAGTACTTCCACAGCTGCAGGCCTGTCCACATCGCGCATGCTGTAGATCCATCTTGCAAGTGAGCGTTCAAAGGATTGGGTACGACTAACGCCCGGAATAATTGAATGAAAGCAAATTAAGAGAAAGTGTAGTAGATATAAAGACCAAGGTCACAGAAAACAACCTCACCTGCGAGGCAGGGCCAGGGTACATTTACTGAGGACGCCTTAATAAGACAAGGGGGTACGCACTCTAGTTGCGAGGGAAAGGGGTCGTACATGGTCAGTTGAAAGATAATTTCTGCTGTTTCTGCAGACCCTGACACTGTACAGCTTTAATTTACTTTTTTAATTTAGTGGAGTGATGACGCCAATGTCGTGCAAATTATCATTCTTGTACAGCAGCAAGGTCCTGCTGGTTCACGAGGTGGGCAGCTTGCATTCTAACAGGTAGCGCGTGGAGATTTGAGTCAGAATTCTGAAGAGAACTCGGGGAAGATGCTTCAGATGTTGGGGTCTAACCCTGTTCGGACCAGGTGCCGTCCGATTCTTCACCGGAGAAAGGCGTGTGGGACTAGGGATGGGAGAACTGGAGTAATGACGCACACTCGAAATCCCAGAGATGGGGTAGGCGTAGCTGCGATTTTCAACTAAATGTGGTCGTTACCGTGCTTTTGGAGAAATATTTCCATTTTGACACAATTGTGGTCGTGTCTCTATACAATACAGAGAAAGACGACAGTTTTCTCAAACTGAAATATCCCACGAGTGACACGTTCTGTGCCGTGCTCAAATGCCGAGCCTGCTTCATCTCGGGGATACGGAGTACAGGGGGGGGGGCAAAAAAAGTCATTCCGGCCAAGTCACATATGAGCGAAGAATCAAAACCGTGAGCAGGACCTATACCCCTATGCACAGAGATACGCCGGAGAAATTTCCCCGGGCTTTTTGTAATATGGTGCCTGCCCATGTCTCCAGTTAGAGGCTATCAGCCCCCACCCCTCCCAGAAGTCGTTATCCAACATCGTTAATACGGAGTTTTTCATTTGCTAGTATGCAGACCCATGAGTAACGACTATAAAGTTTAAAAAAGAAGTGACGTGCATACACTGCTCACCATTTGCTCTTCTAATGTGAGA